TCTCCGAGGAAGAGAGAGAGAAAGAGAGAGAGAAAGAGGGGAGGGGATAAAGAAGAACGAAGAGAAACAATAAGTCGCGCGGGAAAATTGAAGATAAACAACCGAAGGAAAATGTAGAGAGAGAGATGCCAGTGAATAAAGGAAATCTGAAAGAGAGAAGTCGGATCCTCGAGAGGGGTGAAAAGAGATGGGAAGAGTTTAATTCGAGAAGCTGTTTCGAAGAGCAAAATTAATCCTGGAAGCCTTCTTAAATTATTCCTCGCCACGCCGGTAATTAATACTTATCCTGTTTCTTCTATCGCGTTGATCCTTCTGTATCTCCTTTCGTTTCTGGAGAGAGAAAAAACGAACGAAAGAAACAGGATAATTTATTGACTTTCCCTGAAAAAATTAAAAAAAAAAAGTATGAACTAATTTTCAATAAGTCGACTTGGTAGAGAGTTAATTTTTTTTTTTTTTTTTATTATCGATTATGAGAATCGATAATGTTAACCTCTTGTTGTAAATTTGTTTTAAAAATTTTCTCGCGATGTAATTAATTTCCAGGAAAAAATTCAGGAATTTGTTTTTTGCATGAAATAATTCGATTCCATAAATGCAATGTAAATAATTTTGGAATTTATTTAGTGATTGAACGTATTGTTGAATGATATTTTTTATAACGTTAAATACAACTTGGTGGATGTTTTATTAATTGTTATAGAAAGAAAAAAAGTAAATTGCGTAATAAAGAACAATGCTTCAATATCGGAATCGAGATTTAGAATGGCGTACGAAAAATTATTAGTATTAGTATTAATAGAAGTTTTAAAAAAGTTAGATTGGAAGAAATAATCTTTCATTTACGCGAAAAAATTTAAAAAATTAGTAGATAATAAATAAAGAAATTATTTGATAAAAATCATTATATTTAAATAAATATTATAGTTAAATTTCACGTTAATCATGCTAGGAAAGAAAAATAATTCATCATATAGCATATACACGTCAAATGATCGGTAACGAAACAATTAATTAAATGTTTTGAGAGAAACAAGAAAGATTAAAATTTTCTTTGATTTCTATCAAAAGTTGTACCATGTTCGTTAAATGCAAAATGAAAATGATCAGCATCAATTATCAGTCGATAATCCAGATTCGTTGGACATGCCTGCGGAAGATCGAGGGAAATTATCGAACGATCACGGTCCATCGTCGAGGTCGTTGCCAATTATCGGGTTAATTTTACACGGACGATACCGGATTATTAAATGCGGATGCCTGTATAATTTTGCTTAATCACGCGTGTCAGCTCGCAAGCTCGACTGGGGAAATTGAAATATCGTTCGAAAGGTACTGTTACTCTGATGATAATTGGAGTTTTCAATATAATCGGCAATCGGAAAAGTAGATAATCCATATTATTCGTTTTGTTTACGAGTCTCTGACAACTTGTTATTATTTATTAATATTAGACAGTTTTATTAAAAATGATATTTATCAAATTTTAATTCGACAAATTCAATTAAAAAAATCATTATAAATAAAATTTCATTGATTGTTATTAGTAATTATTTCGTTTATTTTTCATATTAATTATAGATTGTATTTTTAATAATAACTTTTCCAAAATTTAACATTAATATTATGAGTTCTTTTTTAATTCTAAATCTTTGTGAAAGAATTCGAATTCGATGTGAAATATAGTTTAAAATTTGTAATAAAATTTTTCATAAAAAACTGATAAAATATTACTCAAGTTATTTTATAAATTATATTAAAATTATATTTGTGAAAAATATTATTTTTTTTTAAATATTTATTTGCAAAAAATATTATTCAACGATACATCAAATTATTAAATTCCAAATGATTTTACACATTTCAACCATGTGTAAAGCATATAAATGAAAAAATTAAATAAAAATAATCAAAGATATCGAAAGTGGTTTCAAAGAAAACAATTTGAAGAAACAGAACGGTTTGATCCTTTAATTACCCAAGAGGAAAACTTATATTTATCTCTTGGAGAATGCGTTCTACGGCGTAAACTCGAGACGGGGGAATCTAGAATTTCCTTTCCAAGGGATGATAACCCCACGTTACCGTGGAAACACTGAATCAATAGCAGGACTAGTTTATTAACACGCTGAAGGCTAAAATAACAGATCTAAGAGGACTACTATATACCTAATATTCTCGAGTTTAATCGGAGGAAATAGTTTTGGTATTGTTTGGGAACTGGAATTTATACCCTTTTACGAATTTGAAATTTATATTTAAAAATGTGACACAGATGAAAAGTTTAAATAGAATTTAGTTTTACAATTTTATCACACGTATCTTTTGATTGAAAATAATTCGATTCATAAGGAAAGAATTTCTCAAGATAATTTTCACAAAATGTTAAATTCTTTTAAATTAAAATAAAAAAAAGAAAAAACTTCACATAGATCCATACAGAATTTCTTCCAAATTTATTTCTTAAAAAGAAACTAAATCAAATCATATATATTTATATGAAATTCCTTTTTAAGAATCAGAAATTAGAAAATTCATATAAATTTGTTATTCTAAATTTTTCACAAACAGTATTTTAATGAAATAAATAAAATTGATCACTATTGGCTGAAACAAGAATTAGATTTATAAAACGCATATTATGTTATTATATACTAATTCTTTTAAATTTATAATTTCAAAAATTTTTTAAATCTGTAATTCTCAATAGCCAATACTCAATGCTGAAAACGTTTGAAATAAAAATTAGAATCATTGCGAGTATAAAATCGAGCCTCGATCCTCGATCCTTTTTTTACGAGGAAGTCGAGTATTTTTCAATGGCGATGAAGCTCTCATTGGTCGACCGTAAGACCTCTACGAGTCGATAGCTCGTATTTTCGAGCCCAGACGAGGCGTCTTTCCCATCGATCCGACGGAAAGCGTCGCCAGACGACGAGGAGCCGTAATATCGTTACGGACGGTTGCAACCCCCTAAGACTCGACGACGTGCATGCCACGAGTAAACCAGATCCATTCAAGAATTTTTAATCCTTTTGATCTTTTTTGGACAACATTTTAGAGCAATTTTGATTATGATATATTAAACATGATTGATATTGTGTTACTTGATTATCATCCAATTTACCAATATTCTACGTATAAAATTATATTAAAGTATTAGTGATTTGAAATAATTATGAAGGATCAGAAAATTAATTTTTTCTAATCAAAGTTTATTTCTTAAGGATTCGATTTCTTTATCACATATTAAAAATAATTAAATCATCAAAATCAAATAGCACAGAAAGAATCAAAATGTAATATTTTCAACGGCTTCAATAAGAGTCTAAATAAAAATCTAGGATCATAAATGTATTTTCCAAGCATCGAAAATGATCCCTCGAGGGTTGAACCGTGGAGGGAACAGCGTAGAAAAGAAGAAGGCGGAAGATGAAGACGTAGTTCGATTGTTTTTGCAAGGGGTTGCGTATAAAGTGGCGCGGGGCGAGATTTGCGAGATAGGAATTTAGAATAGGAGGAGAAGATACATGAGTTTCTGCTCATTGTTAGCAACCCTCTGCGGGGAGAAAATTAACGCTGTACAAACCTGGTTCATGACTCGAGCTTGGCTAAGAAGAGAAGTGAAAAACGAGAGATTGTGCACGAAAGCCCAGAAGAACGAACCCTTTATACCCGTCCTGTGCACCAGACGTGTATTTACCTCGAAATTACACGTTCGTACGGTTAATAATCGCATTGGCCAACCTCCCCATCTCCTTTTCCCCTTGATTCGGCCTACGAGAAGAATTGTTTGGAAAATTTTCAGATAGAATAATCAGTCGTCGTTTTGTATTGAGTCTAAATAAAGAATATCTTATTATTGTGTTTTATGATGGAAAAAGAAAAATTATGGAATAATTCTTCAACAATTTTCTATTTTCAGGGATTAATATCAAAGATTCGTTTAATAGAAAAATCTGTGTGTAATAATTCAAATTGTAAAATTCTAAAAAAAAAAAAAAAAAGTTTTTCTCATTTTTCGAAATATTGTTACGATGCAATGAACGTGTTAAAACGTAATCAAAGGATCAATGTACAACGCTCTTTTCAGTAAATTTCGTTTCGCATTACTAATTTGTGAACAGGTTAGTGAATTAATTTCAACGAATTGCCCCGACGATATAATCAAACTCGAATTCGCAATCGAAGGATCATTGAATAACGCGTTAAAAGTATGTAAATTCGCGCGAAAAGATTCTTAATTAATGGACACGAATTGTATTCGTGGATAGAAAATTATTACCGGTTCCTATAAATTCAGGCTCGTGATGATTCATGATGAAACATAAACTTATTTCTGCGTGTAATCTCTTTGTTTCTTTGATGATGCTTACGAGGAATTTTCAAATTTTTTTTTTTTTTTTTTTGGTAAAGAAAGAGATTCTTTAATTATTCGAAACGATAAAACTCGAGATATTTAAAGATAATTTTTAAAAATGCAAATCTGAGAATATTCGTATATCAGAAATGATATAAGAACTAAATAATAGGATAGAAACAGGAGAGTATTATTTTATATCTTTTATTTTTTTTCTATGTTTAATTCTAATTTCATTTTTATTTAATCTTGATTCTTTGATATCGAATAATCTTATTATTGCATTAAGAACAGAAAAGAATTAAAAAGTTAGAAGTCGACAAATCTTCAATATCCTTTCATCCACCAATAAAAGAATTCCTGGATTTTTTTTTATATCATCCATGTAAAATTATCATATCTACAAACATATAATTTTATAATTTAAATTCAATTGTTAGATAAAGAGAGATTGCAATGTATTTATAATTCAATAAATTATTATTCCTTAACCATTTTTGAGAATATTAATTTTTGTATTTATTTTGAATCTATTAGAATCATCTTTAAAATTCTTCTAAAGTATTTCCATGAATATATTAATATCTTAAATATACATATATTTAATTTAAGTTTCATACAAATTATTTATTTATTTCAGGCACTGGCTGGAAGCAAGTACGACGACAAGCATCTGATGAGCAACGAAGTAATGGAAAAGACTCCATCCCCCTTAAAATCGACGTACAACTCCCAATCATCGCGAAACTCTGATTGTCCCCCGTCATCCAAGCCGGCAATGGCGAATCGTCTCCTGGATTGGTTCTCTGTCGTGATGGCTGATTCTAAACACCGTCGCCCTCATCCTAAACCTAAAGGTACGAGCATATAGATCTTAGAACTAGGTCAATCTTGGATTTATGGTTTGGAATATGACATTCCAATTGGATTTCGTTAATTAGATTGAGCCTTCTGGAAAATTTTCCATCATCAACCCTCTGATATTCATCAATGTACCATCATTATAAGTGGTATCTTCATTTTTTTTTAACATTATAGACTTTTAAAAGAATTCTAACACAATTTGACATCTCTGTTTTATTATCTATATAAATTTTAAATTAATTAAAATATTTTCTCTCACAAGATATTGAAAAGTGAAATTTCACTTGTGAACTTAATAATATTATGAAAGATTAAATGTGCAAATCATTGTTTAATTTTTATTTCGTTAGCTCATAAAGATCTATTAATAATTTTGTTTTTTTTTTCATCAATCAAGTAATTTAATAAGTTATCGTTAAAAATAGAAATTTATATTAATATATTCATTGTAAGAAAATTTGAATAACAATCAATATCAGTCAATTACTTCATTGAAATTAAATTAATTTTTTAATTCAAATTACAAACATAATTTATTCCTCAAATATAACGTTTGAGGAATATTTCAGTTAATTTTACTCGGGTAAACAATAGCAGGGCGTAAAAATCGCGTGACCAATGTAACGATAATTGCATCCCATGTTTTGCTTAACAGTTGGTAGAAACGGAAACGATGGTGACGTGCTAAAAGTTGCTCTAATTATCAGTAAATTGCACATGCGATGACGTGGCGCAACAAATTAGAAGCGTAGGTAACGAAACCATCGAAACTCTTGCATCGTCATTCGTGTTATCGATGTGGACGATGTTTTTCGACGGCAAATTGGTTTGAAAATTATAAATTTCTCTCTAAATGTGTCTCTCGATTAACAAGATCGATTAAAAATTCCGTTGAAAAATTTCAAAACTCATCTTTTATTGATACAGAAACGAAAGAAAAAATAACATCGAATATCTTTTGACTATCTATCATTTAAAATTTTCGAAATTTCTTGCTTGTTCAAAGTTATTAAGAATTTATTTACATTATATACTAATATAGAAATACAGGAGAAAATATAAGAATTCGAAATTAGAATCAATTTAAAAAATTGATATAAAAATTTATATTTGATTAAGATTTTTAATAAATCATTAAATCGACACAATTCCCAAGCTGTCAAATCCTGTTGGAATTATCTGGTGATTCGTGAAAGCCTGTTAAAACGATTCCTGAATCACCAATTCCGATTAGAATCATTAAACCGAGTAATCCAGTGAAAATGACTCGAGAGTCAATGTTCTCATACCAAGTTAAAGTCACGAATAATTAGAATGAAAGTGAACACTGATCAAAATTAAAATTAATCAGTGAAATTTTTATGAAATAATATAAAAATCAAAATTATCCTAAATATAATGTAATTTCAATTTCATAGAATACTAATTTTGATTTTATTAGATATTTTTTTCTCGAAGAACTTATTAATTACCGCATTACCATTAAAAAATTCTACGATCGCAAAAATGAAAGCAGTATTGATTCAGCATAAATTGATTAAAAATTCGAAAAGGAAAAGAAAAACGGATAAATTTTTATCTTTAAAAAAATCTCTTGTTCGTCGAATTCGAAAGGATTATCTTGTCTCGTTGACCACGTAACATTGGGATAACACGTTTAACATTGGGGTTAAAAGTATCGTTGCCGATAAACCATTCAGAACGGGCAAGTTCTGCAGAGAACGTGGCCGATCGGAGTTGAATATACAAGAGACTAATTGCCCCGCACGAAAAGGGTGGTCTCTCTGGACATTACAGCGCGCACGATCCAAAATAGTTCGGAACTGCCTCACGTCACTGCACGCTATTCGACTTCGGTACAATCACTTTCGTACCAGCGAGGAATTGTCCCATTTAAATGAATCGCTTCCCCCCTCAGATCTGTCGCCGATTACTCTCCTCTGTCTATGTCGATATTGTTCCCAATTTGTACGGTTTCAATCCGATCTTGCAACCGAAATATATCCACTGTGAGATGGACGGTTGACAAAGTAATGTGCGTATAATTTTACCTGTAATTTACCTATAATTAAACCTGGAAAAATGGTTGTGTAATGGATTCGTTTTAAAAGAAAAATTCGTGTGAATTTTAACAGAATCTTTTTAATAAAAATTTATTTTTCAAATCGAAAAGTATATATAGGGTGTAAACTTTACAAATGGCTGTATTCATGTGGATATCACAAATTTGATAAATATCGAATTGAATTATTCTTTTTAAGCATTTATGAACTTATTTTTATAAAACACAGTAGCAAAGTTTGAACGAATCTTATATACTTGATATATTTCGAATGCCATATTATAATAAAAGAATATTGATAATTAATACAACACTCTATACAATTTTCACTCACCTCCTGAGGCATTAAACTTTTCATCTCGTTCATCATTATAGAATCGTATCGATCCACCACTTAAATATTGCAATTTCCTGGAAACATAGACTGATAATATTTTTTGCACAGATGTTCGCTGAACACAAGTGCATCCAATGGTTCCAATTTTTATTTAACACGCGTGTTATGTTACCAAGTTGTTCCCCCCCGTCGAGAGATATTTATATATTTCTGCCTGCAGAGACAGGGTCATCGGAATTCATATTTCATTCCTGTGCACTGTTTCCAGGTCACTTCCCTATCGGCTGCCAGAGCGAGGTCAGGTGGATGTTCGGACATTTGGACAGCGACAACGATGGCAGACTCTCTCTTTCCGAGTTGTACGGGCTGGAACACGATCAAAACGAGCCGTGTCTGAAACCGTTCCTCGACGGTTGCGACACGGACAGGTAAGATGACTTCCGGCCATCCGGGATGTTATTCCGTTCACGTACATCTCCACCTAGTTGTCTAACCCGTTTGTTACATTTCTCCGCGAATTTTTCTTTCTTTTATATATATATATAATCCCGTCGTGTCCGTTGCTTGTAAATCATTAAAGTCCGCGGATACGTGACCCGAAAAGAGAACGAAGAGAGAGTGAAAGAGAGGGAGAGAAACCCTTTCAGTTTTTAATACCTTCGAGAGACTTGACGCTCGAGCGTAATAGGTCTCGAGCGTACGTGCCTACGAAGCGGAGAGTGGCTGGTCGTTAAGAGGCAGACACGTGGAACGTGTGTGAAACTTTCATTTCGAATCAATTGCTTTTAGCTCGAATGCAAACGGGGAAATAAGAAATGATGGGTCGTTGCGTTTGGAATTTTCGTTCTCTCAGGATATATATAGAGATTAAATTGGATGTGTAATGATTTGGATGGAATATAATTCTTGGTACAAGAAGAAAATTTTTCCAAGATAATAATTATAAATAATGGTTACTAGCACTAATGATTTTCTGAAAATAAACACGTTTGTATCATTCTTTCATTCTGAGCTCTTATTTACTTTCTACTATACTCCTTGATCTATTATTCAAGAAATTTGAAGCTTTATTATTTTCCTTTTAAAGAATCTTCATATATATAAAAAAATACTAGATAGGATATTTTAATCAAGAAGATATATAATACCAGCAAGCATCAACCATATTTGACAATCCTTTTTCAGAGACATCTTTGTAAGTGGTCCTGAATGGTGTGGATGCTTTTCAAAGGCTGAACGCCCCTGTGCCGCTGTACGTAAACGATCATCACCCGACGTTGCACCTGCTTGCGATTCTCGAGGGTATTATCGAAGCACCCAGTGCCATCGTGGTCTAGGACTCTGTTGGTGTGTGGATCCTCATGGTGTGGAATTCGCTGGGACTAGAACACGTGGCAGCAAGCCAGATTGCGGTAAATGGGTTCGAATTATGTCAATGGTAAAACGTTCGTCCAAAATGATTATAATACTTATCTTCATAACATTTCAGACACGATCGTGAACAAGATCAGCAACGGTGGATTAAAGACGAATAGCGTGGATTTGGACGATGACGAAGATGGTGGTACAGATTCTGCCCAGGATCTCGAAGGGTCCGCCGATCAGCCATTAGACTTTTAGATTCCTTAGAATCAGCCAGCAACAACAGAAACGGGAGCAGCAACTTAACGTGATATCGAACAGCCGGACGACACGATTCCTCTTGTAAAGGAGAATTGAAAACCGTTCTCCCGGTTGTCCACTGATTTCGAGTATCGCCGTTGTGATTGGAGGTGTCTTCAAGTGAAACAGGTCGGCGTAGGCTGCGACTCACGCGTGAACCTAAAAGTCAGAGGAGCAACGAAACAAGTATGAGGATTAACGAGATGTGACACGAGCAGCGGATAACCTCTGGCATCGTGGTTGCACGACTTGAATATTAAGTCCTCTTTGTCCATTGGTCATGATCCTTAACCCGAGAATGATCATTTTTTTATAATAATTGATTTAACATATTTTTTATTAATTGAACTTAGTTTATAGATTGAATTTAAATAATGGATATTGATATAAATATTTTTTTTTATTTTTTATTGTTATTTTTTTTTTTTTTCTTTTCTTTTGTTTATAACACAAGTGCCAAACGGGTTAAGAAGCTGCTGAATCGAAGAATCGTAGGATGCTTGTACAGTGCAATAATTGAAGGGCTAAATCGTGCAATAACAATCTCGTGTGACGCTCTATTTTAATCAAACATCATACAGGAGATATCGATGTTCGACGCAGTGACAGAATCGTCCTTATAATTTTAATGAGATACGTTGTACCCTGTGTGCCTGTCGAGGTACCTCCATGCACAACTCTATAAATAATATAATTATATACTATTTATGCATTTACAAACTAGAAGTTTCGCGAGAGAGAGAGAGAAGAGAGAGAGAAAGAGAGAGAGAAAGAGAGAGAGAGAAAGAGAAAAAAAACAATGCAATAGGAGAAGGGAAAGAAGCTCATCCTCCATCGGGTAAAATTCACATGTCCACTCCACGACGTATAGAAATTATAATATCTTTAAAAAAAAAAAAAAAAAAAAAAACAAGAAAAAAAAAAAAAAAAAAAAAAAAACAAGAAAAAAAAAAAAAAAAAAAAAAAAACAAGAAAAAAAAAAAAAAAAAAAAAAAAACAAGAAAAAAAAAAAAAAAAAAAAAAAAACAAGAAAAAAAAAAAAAAAAAAAAAAAAACAAGAAAAAAAAAAAAAAAAAAAAAAAAAGAAATACGAAAAAAGAAAAAGAAAAGAAGAAAAATGCTCTATGTAATTATGATTTCTAATTGCGCTAGATTAACGATATCTCGAATTATAATGTCTAAGCATAATATATATATATAAATATACATATAAATATATATATATATATAATACTGTCTATGACTTACGATAATATAGCGGACGAAAACAAGCTGGCTGAGAGAGAAAATCTGGCAGATCGTCAGCAGATGCGAAATACGCATCTAATACAATCTTAGAGAGATGCACACGCTTGAACACGTAGGATAAAGTAAACAGAAAAGTATTTGCATAGTCCGAATCACGAACATAGATTTAATTGATTAACGCTCTCTCGTTATAAAGCACTGATTCGCTGATTCTTAACACAAGAAAATATACGCCGACAGCAGATATAGATTTCTGTCTCCACGCTTATTTATTTTCTTCACGCTAATTCTTCTTCCACTATTTTTATCTTTTTTTTTTTTTTTTTTTTTTTAATTTTCTTTTCTCTCGTAGCCATCTTGCGTTGCGAGATTTAGTGTAAGATATATTGCATAAAAAAATGACCTATTTCATACTCGCTAACTAAACTGAACCGCAGTTTAATCACGATGAGTGAAATAAATTACATACTATTTTTAATTAATATTCGATTTTTAATATTTATAAAATTTTCTGCTTTCTTCGAAAATTTATTTCTTTTTATTTGTTGTATTAGTATTAGTATTGGTACTATAATTCATTGATGATATATTAATTTATTAAAATCAAGTATAAGTAATAAAGTATATTGTTCATATTATAACGAACACATCGTGATTTGTCTGCGTTTATTGTAATTATAAGTATTTTTACTTAACAAACTTTTACTTAACGAGTGTGTGGTACACCGTAGGTTCTAGAGTATAACATATAATCCGTAGAAAACTGATCGGTGTGACTATGTGAATATGCCCTAGTATTAGACGGCAATTTACGTAGGAATAGCCAGTGCAAATTATATGTATCTCTTGTCTAGAAAGGAGCAAAAAACATGGAGATTATGTTTTTAAACTTAGATTATGCTTTATTTCATTTTAATTTGTTTATGCTCCGATATATTATTAATTAGAGATACATGTATTCCGAATTTAAGTACTTACTTATATTCTCATTAAAAACAACAAGATTTACTCTAATCTTTTTTACAAATACTTGATCGATAATATTATATATCAAATAGAAACTATCAGTAAAACATATTTACACCGAAACTAAGTTTTATTATTCTGCATAAACTATTTGAGAGTAAATTTTGCATTTTAATAATTAACATGATAGGTGCCGCATCATTTTCAGAGATTTAAAATAACATACAATAAGAATTCATAGAAACTCTCCGTGCCATTGAACATTTGGTGTACGGGAACCTCGTCCGCGATGAATTAATTAACGTGTATACTCTTTGCTACGTTGAGCGCAATTTATATTCCGCCTGAATTATTACCGTCGACCTAGATTAACAAGTATATTAACTTCAAACAAACATAAATAGTTTTACCGAAAGTCTTGCATATTGTATATACATAATTATATACAATGAAAAATCATCGTTTATGATCTTCGTACCGTGATGATTTTGTAAGGTATGCACTTGGTCAAAGCGTAAAGAATTTTTACTTCATTCCAGAGCTACTATTAATATTTCACCAAATTGGTATTGTACATGTGGCTGTAAGAATTCTTTATGAATAAAGATTGTTGTAGAAATCTGAAGACTACAATCACTTCGAACCTAATTAATTACAGGAATAGAAAATTATATTTATAAGGAAATATATTATCTTTATTTGTATATAAAATGTTTTACAAATATGTTTTAGTTAAAATACAAATAATATAAAAACTTATAAGAATTTATATGCTTTTTAATATTTGAGCACAGCTCTTAAACTGTAATAAAAAAGAAATAATATTTTAATATTTTAAATAGTTCATTAAACAAAAATTATTGAAACTTACCAATTGCCTGAATGCAATAAATCAAAACCTTCATTTATCTTTTCAAAGGGTAGAGTATGTGTAATAAATTCATCAAGTATTAATGATTTTGACATATATTCTTTCACCAATTTAGGAACACTTTCTTTAGATTTCCAACCACCAAATGCAGTTCCTTTCCATACGCGTCCTGTTACCAATTGAAATGGACGAGTACTGATTTCTTGACCCGCCGCAGCTACACCCACAATAACGGATGTACCCCAACCTTTATGACAAGATTCTAATGCAGCTCTCTAAAAATACGATATTGATTTTTATTAACAAATAAAATCAATAAAAACAATATTAATAAAACAGGTCCAATGTTTTGTTGAAAATTTTGATTTAACAATTAAAACTTACCATAGTATTCACATTACCAACACATTCAAAAGTATAATCTAGTCCACCATCGGTTAGTTCTATTAGGACTTCCTGAATTGGCTTATCATAATCTTTAGGATTAACAAATTCGGTACATCCAAATGTTTTAGCTAAAAAATAATAAAAATTGTTTAATAATATCTTATACTTTTGAAAAAATTTTAATAAATTCTTTCATCTTACCAATTTCAAATTTATTTGGATTCACATCTATTCCAATAATACGTTTGGCACCAGCTTTTTTACAACCAAGTGCAACTGCCAATCCAACTGCACCTAATCCCCATATAGCACATGTACTTCCAGATTCTACTTTAGCAGTATTTAAAGCAGCACCATATCCAGTAGATACTCCACATCCCAATAGAGATACTTTATCAAGTGGTGCAGTAGGATCAATCTGTTATATAAATTTTTTTTAATAAATAATATAAATTTTAATCATTATATTTAATTATTATATAATAATTTAATAAATATAAAATAATTATAATTTATTTTATAAAATAAAAATACCTTAGCAAGAGAAATATCTGCAACTACAGTATATTCTGAAAAAGTAGAACAACCCATGAAATGAGCAAGAGTTTGACCCTTGCATGTAAATCTAGAAGTTCCATCAGGCATTACACCTTTGCCTTGTGTCATACGAATCTTACTGCATAGATTTGTTTTTGGGGATTTACAAAATTTACAATCCCCACATTGAGGAACATATAATGGAATCACATGATCACCTATAATTTTGATATATAAAATTATTTAATGGTTAAAAAATATAATATCCAATAATGAACAATATAAAAATACCAGGTTGAAATTCTGTAACTTCTTCTCCTACACTTTCAACAATACCACTACCTTCATGACCAAGAATACAAGGAAAAATTCCTTCTGGATCTAATCCATCTAAAGTATAAGCATCTGTATGACATAAAGCCACAAATATAATTTTAATTCTTACTTCATGAGCTTTTGGAGGTGCAACTTCAATTTCTTCAAATGAAAGAGGTTGTTTTTCTTTCCATGCTACAGCAGCTTTACATTTGATTACCTATTATATAAAAAAAATTTTAATTTATTTAAATACATAATTTATTAATAATTAAATTTATATCATCATTCTTAACTTAATAAAATAATTTAAATTAAATTTATATCTCTCTTAATTTAATAAAATGACATAAAAAGATATATATAATTTTTATTATTAAATAATTTTATAAAATTAATCGAAAATTGATATAATCAATTTAATGTTTCAAAAAGAAATAAATTAATACTTAATTTTTATTTAATTGTAATAATAATTCAAAATAATTTATCTAAAAAAAATAAATACCTTTCCAGCAGTATTCGACATAATTACAAAACTTTTAATTAACAACGTAATAAAGAATTTTATTAATTCTTTATAAAAGTAAGAAATTTATTAAATAATATTTTAAAAAGTATTAATTTTTCTGAATATTGATAACAATTTATAATCCATTTAACGATAAAATGAGATGACTAAAGTCGTAGTTGCATGCGATTCTATTTCGATACTACTGGCATCAGTGCTTAAAAAATTTTATAAAAAAATTGTATACTAAAAAAATTATCAAATAAATTTTATAATCTAAAAATAATTTATAAATACATTAAATTTATAAATTTTAATATATATTTTAAATAAATTAATATTTAAGGGAAATATAATAATTTATTTCATTTAATATTAATATATTTGTATATAAAAAATATATATTATAATAGAATTTCGTATAATTTTTATATAGGAAAATAAAGTTTATAGAGAAGATCATCATTTTTTAAAGACAATATTTTAAAGACAATGTATATTAAAGTTTACATTTCTATAATTTATTGATTATATTCTTTAATTTATAATAAGTTTATAATAATCTTTATAAATCGTTACATTATTATTATTATTAATTTTTAATCATTAACAAGTTGCATCACAAAAAGTTTTATGTAACTTGACCTAACATAATTTTTTTTATAAATAAAACTTATTTTACATGGAAAAATTTATATTTTCTTTAAATTTTTTCATAAATTTATAAATTATTTTTAATATGTTCATTATATTGTATAAAGTAGTAAAAAAAAAAAGTTTTATGTCATTTATATAAGATTTTTTAATAATATATCATACAAAAAATTCTTAATAAAACTAATACAATAAAAAATATTTGCTCTAAAATTTTTTTATGAGAAATCAGTTTATTAAAAACATATTTTAATCATTTGAAAATAAATTATTGCATAAATAAAATATTAACTGAAATTCATTATCAAATTTTATTTGTTTATATAATTATTAATATTTATCTGTGAACTTTTTTACCTAATCTTAATATAAATAATATTTTTACAAGAGTAATAAAATGTGCAATTGTATAAC